AAAATATCAGGTGTCTAAACAGACCTTTGATGCCTCACTTTTAAGACAGAGAAAAAGATTAAGAACACAGATCCCCAATTCTTTCTCTGCAGCCTCAGCTGAACTGCAGATTGAATAAACAGTAAGTACCCTGAACAGAAGCTCCCTGTTCATTCACAAACTGACGCATTGTAAACACCGTTTATTATGCTTCAGTTATACACACAATGTTATATACACAATGTATCCATTTTGGATGCATTATATATACAAGTATCCATACGATTATGTATTAATATTTACAATATTCTTGTGCTAGCTTATAATTATTTTAATTCATGTCTATATGGTATCAGATGCGGATTTATGGATTATTAATTCATTAGTTTATCTATTTATCAATCTATCCATTTACAAATGTGTTTATTAATTATTTATTGCTTTAATGTGATCTGTATCCATTGATTTGTAATGCCTGTAATTTGTGCATTTACCATTGACTATTACATTTTTAATCATGCTTATTAATCAAATGTTATTGGAATGATGCCTATATTTATTTTATTGCTATTCTTTGCTTCTAGTATGCCTCAAATAAAGCCCCATGGTTAATGCATTGGATATGTTGTTTTAGGGATGGAGGCATTTTCACTCCAAAAAAGGGTGCCCCAGACCACAACAACAAATATATATGCTTCGGTTATAAATGACCACATGTGGGATTGGTACCGATCACTCACCGTGTTTATTCAAGAAAGAAATAGGTCAGCAAACATGACATGCAGGGGGCATGTCCCTTGAAATGCATCCATGGTAGTTTGATTCATGTGTGGACACTGTGTGCTCCATATTCTGGATACCATTCTGTTTTCTGGAGTTAGTATGTTTTAATACCTTGTGAGTGAGTATGTACACAATTTTTTTTTAATTTAGTACAATGATGAGGGTAATGCACTAGGCCTTGGTACCCTTTTATTTTGTTTGTTTGCTTAGTACACTTGTTGTCAACAGCCTCAGGCTTCCTTGTCAATGCCATCATTACCTCAAGAATGCATAACAACAAGGACATGTGATGCCATTAGGCTAGAGAGAATATTAGGAAAACCAACCAGTAGATCCAGTCACTGACAACTTAGGCTAGAAAAATACAGATGATTTTAAATGACTTTAGCAGTGGTGTGGTTATGGTTGTACCTTTAAAAAAACTATGCATTTATAAAGCACAGTGAATTGCCCAGTCACGTGACTTGCTCTTCTCTAACACACCCACAGGGCTCTTTTTGCTGCATTAACCAATTCAATACCGGGCAATTTTACACCTTCCTGCCCAGGCCATTTTTCACGTTTCGGCACTCTCACACTTTGAATGACAATTGCGCGGTCATACAACATTGTACCCAAACTAAAATTTTATCATTTTCTTCACACAACTAGAGCTTTCTTTTGGTGGTATGTAATCACTGCTGGGGTTTTTATTTTTTGCTAAATTAACAAAAAAAGACCCACATTTTTTAAAAAAAAACACGTTTTTTCGTTGTTTAACAGCCAAAAGTTTACAAATAAATAATTGTTCTTCATAAATTTAGGCCGAGATGTATTCTGCTACATGTCTTTGGTAAAAATAACCCAAATTAGGATGTATTTTTTAGTTTGTAGGAAAGTTATAGAGTTCACAAACTATGGTATAGATCTGAAAATTGATCAGTTCTGAAGTACTGATGGCCAATCTAATTTCTTGAGGTCCAAGAATGTCAGAACAGTACAGATATCCCTCAAATGACCCCTTTTTGCAGAGTAGACAGTCCAACGTATTTCATAAGAAGAATGGCAAGTTTTTTGAAGTTGTATTTTTTTTGTCATAATTTTTCGGAAAATGAAAAAATTAAAAAGATTATTTTCTCTATTTTTTTTTTTACATACTGTCACCAGTGCAGTACAGCATCATCATATAACTGGCATGGTGGTGAACAGGGACACTGACTGGTGATAGTATGAAAAAAAAAAAATATTTTTTTTTTATTATTTTTAATTTTTTATTACATTTTTTTAATTTTTTTTCAAGATTTTGTTTTCATATTTTACTATGACCAAAGTAGTACAATGTTACCATAGTAACATTGTACTAGTTTGGGGAAGTGATCAGTATTTTTATTTTTTTTTACACAATTTGCTTATAGCAAAGAATTACTTTGCTATAAGCAAGCATTTACCTGAATGACATCGATTCATTCAGGGTTTTTTTTTTTTTTTTGCTTAGCTGTGATTTGGCCACAGCTAATCACATGACATGTGCATGTGATTAGCTGTGACCATCCACAGCTAGGCACTAGTATACAATGGATGGCATGAATGAAGCCATCCATTGTATACATCTGTCATGTGACCTGCTGTGATTGGTCACAGCAGGTCACATGGTACCGGCAACCGGGGCGGTACTCAGATCTGTCATCGGCCATGTCCGAGGTACACGGCCGGTGACAGATTACGCGGCTCTGCACTTGTGCGAACTGCGCATGTGCGGGAGGACGCCAAATGGCGTACACCCCGGAAAGCTAGAGCATTTTTGCAGCCACCAAACGGCTATAGGCCGGGCGGCTAATGGTTAAAGAAGAACTCTTTGACTACTGCAGACTCCATATCATGGCTAACATTTTATGGGCCATGAAATATGGGTCACAATGTGCATGGCATGGCAGAGTATTGCAGAGAGTTTAGAGGGATATCTGCTGTCCATTGTAAATAAGCCCCTAGAAGTAGTTTATTTTTAATGTCAAGTAACAGGTATTGTTTAGTGGCAGTAGGCATAAGGTTAATAATTAACATGTGTTTTATGTGGTCACAGCCATCTAGCACCTTTTACATATTCTATTTGGATTTGAGCATGTATGGAGCAAAGAAAGTTTCAGGTGTGAGTTTAATGTGCTATTAAGCTTCCACATTTTTCCCTGGGATGTCAACACCTGATTCATAATAATGTTCTCACTTTCAGAAGCAGGTGAGAACTACTGTAATTATTTCACCATTCCACAATGCTCTTCACACACATATTACAGGAACATTGCTGGTCATGATTTATGTGAAACAAACACATTAATATTAAACATTACCCTTAAACTGATGACACTATGTGCAGCAGATGGTGCACTGCTTCTCACTATTCATTTTAAGCAACTATCTGTTTATAATCAATAATACTTTAGTATGCAATATTGCTGTTTTTTCATATATTCATGTGCAAAACAAAATGTGCAAATGAAGTTTGAATAGGGTGGAACATGGAATATGATTTCATATGCTGAAACTATTTGCCTGTTCAATATTTATGCATCATATCCATTACATTCTATTTTTTTAATTGAAAACTTATTTGTTATGTATTTTTCTGTTTTTATAAAGATTTCCTAATTAAATCCATTTAAACAAAAAGAAAATCAGCGGTATACTATTCTGTGCATTATACTAAGAGAATCCAAACTCAGGGCATAAATAATACAGTATAATTACAATTTGAGATCCTCAATAGCTAGGATCCTCCATCGACACCTACTGTATACCGTATTTTTCGCCATATAAGACGCACCTGACCATAAGACGCACCTAGGTTTTAGAGGCAGAAAACAGGAAAAAAAATTCTGAACTAATGGACTGCAGACACAGTACAGGACATGACCAGAGACTGCGGACAGCACAGGGATGACCAGAGACTGCGGACAGCACAGGGATGACCAGAGACTGCGGACAGCACAGGAGATGACCAGAGACTGCGGACAGATCAGGGATGACCAGAGACTGCGGACAGTACAGGAGATGACTGCTGACCTTTGGGGAGGTGGGGAGGGGTACCTGAATTTGACAGGTACCCGCTCTTACTTCCGCAGAGTTTTTGTTTGATCTTACCTGTTCCTCGATCCAGCCGCGCGCTGTCTTCCCGGCTTCTGTAATGGCGCTCGGCATGACAGCCGGGTGCCCAGTGCGCATGAGCGAGAAGCACTTGCTCTTTGTGATTGGTCCGGCGGCTTCTGGGATCTGTCATGTGTCCCAGGTACTGCCTTACCATTCACAAAAAGCACCGCTTCTTGCGCATGCGCACTTGGCACCCGGCTGTCATGCCCAGTGCCCAAACTACAGAAGCTGGGAAGACAGCACGCCGCTGGATAGAGGAACAGGTAAGGTCCCGCTGCAGAGCTGAGTGGCCGGCCCGGTATTCTGACACGGCCGCGGTGGAAATACCGGACCCGCCGCTCCATATTCGCCCCATAAGACGCACTGACATTTCCCCCCCAGTTTTGGGGAAGAAAAAGTGCGTCTTATACGGCGAAAAATACGGTATTTACAACCCTGCATGATTACCAGGCATAAAAGAGATGAGTAAGACCATTTGTGAAATGACAGGAAAGAGAGGAAAAAAGGAAGAAGATGGGAGGGGAGGGATAGGGCAGAGAGGAAAGGGAAGGCATGAGACCAGTCAGAGCTCCTCCACACTTGACATCATTTTCCCCTGACTAGGTATATATTATGTGGTCCACAGAGAATCATCAAAGTCACCAGGGAAATAGTGAGTGATTTCAAGTGGACCAAAACTTTCTAAATGTCTTAGTTTTGTCATTAAATACAGCTACCAGCTTTAAGTTCTCTAAATACCTTGCCATTTTTTGTTTGACTTGTGTGGCTGTTGGGGTACCAGACCACCAGACATTTGAGTTTGTTTAGTGGGCATGAAAATAAAGGATATGAGCCTGAGTTGATCAGCAGTGCACCCAGTTGGTTTTACATTGAGTAGGACTTATATACATTTTTAGGGATGCTGTGGCCCAATACAGTGTATATTAACCACTTGCCTACTGGGCACTTATACCCCCTTCCTGCCCAGGCCAAGTTTCAGCTTTCAGTGCTGTCACAGTGTGAATGACAATTGCACGATCATGCAACACTGTACCAATATGACATTTTTATCATTTTTTCACACATATAGAACTTTTTTTGGTGGTATTTAATCACTGCTGGGTGTTTTATTTTTTGCGCTATAAACAAATAAAGAGCAGAAAAATTTGAAAACAAAGTTTTTCTTTGCTTCTATTATAAAATTTTGCAAACGGGTAATTTTTCTCCTTCACTGATGTGCGTTGATAAGGCTGCACTGATAGGCAGCACTGATGGGCACTGATGAGGTGGCACAGATAGGCAGCACTGATGGGCACTGATAGGCGGCATTGATAGGCTGCACTGATGAGCTAGCACTGATGATGCTGCACTGATAGGTGGCACTGAGGGGCACTGCTGGGTGGCACTGCTGGGCAGCACTGATGGGTGGCACTTCTGGGCACAGGTCGTGGCACTGTAGGGCACAGGTGGGTGGCACTGATGGACGTAGGTGGGTGGCAATGCTAGGCACATTTGGGTGGCACTGATGGGCACAAGTGGGTGGCATCGCTAGCCACAGGTTGGTGACACTGATGGGCAGAAATGGGTGGCACCGCTAGGCACAGGTTGGTGGCACTTCTGGGTGGCACTGCGGGGCACAGGTAGGTGGAACCAATGGGCAGAGGTGGGTGGCACTGATGGGCACATGTGGGTGGCACTGCAGGGCACAGATGAGTGGAACTGATGGATACAGGTGGGTGGCACAGCTGGACACAGATGGGTGACACAGGTGAGTGGCACTGCTGGGCACTGATCATCAAGGCACTGATCATCAGTGCCGATCACTCCTCTGACAATTGCCAGTTATCGACAGTACTTTCCTTAAACTGTGACAGCATGAGGAAAGTGCAGCAGATAACCGTCAACTGTATTTACTTGGTGATCTGCTGTGTCATTGGTCACAGCTGATCACGTGGTGAAAGGCCGCCGTGATTGGCCATTCACTATATCCTGTGATCAGCTATGTCCATACGACACTGCGATCACCAGCGGCAGAGGGTTGCACGCTAACAGGGGACGTGCAGGGGGTCAGTTCTGGAATGACGTCCGTGGATGTCGTCCCAGAACCAGACAACCGTACTGTAGCCGTCCTTCGGCTATAGAGCGGTAGGGAACTGGTTAACTGATAGACTCAAGTCTAGAAAGGCTTGATTCTGGTAAACTACCTGTCAAGGATACTAAAAGCAGGCATCCAGCAGCTGGAATTGCCAGATCTGTGTAGCTACACTTAGGAAACCGAGGCCAAGCTATATATGATTTAAGCAAGTTTATTAATAGTGAAACAAAATCCATCCAAACACCACAAGCAGAAAACACAGCAAACTTGAAGATATACAGTAAGTGAATTTAATCATAACTCAAGTGACAACATACCTAACTATAATGCAATATAATATATATATATATTGTGGGAACTCGCTTCAAATGGTAGAGCTTTGTTAAACGCACACAGCAACCCGCTTTCTTTTTTAAGGCTTTTTAGCCCAATTTTTTTAAAGAAAATGTCCCGTCACATAAAGCTTCCCACACAGGGGTATCCACCATCAAACACATGCAAATGAAAATTCAGCCTCCTGGCTTGTATACAGTTTTATGTCTGTCTCCTACAGACTTTTTCCAAAATCTGGCTCTCGCACACAGCTGGCCACTGCACACAGCTAGTCTGGCTTCCACCTCTCTTTGGTGGAGCCCTCCTGACTCCTGTATTTCGGGGTGGAGCCCTCCTGACTCCTAGAAGATTGCCCTGCACACCTGAGCAATCAGTATCCTGGCCTTTTCCAAAACCTGGTCCCAGGATTGGAGATTTCATTCCTCCCAGATCTCTTTGAAATCTCCAGGCTCCAGATCCCAAAATGGACCCTACAAACAAAGGAGAAAAGTGAAAAGCTGTATCAAACACTTACCCTGGATCCCCTCAACCTGCCTTGTTGAGAATCCTGGGTGACAGATCGCCACACTGTCACAATATATATACTGTACATTTTATAAAATGAGGAACACAGATCAACATAGCAAAACTGAAGGTGTAAGAAACAATCAGGAAGGGGGAACCAAGACTGGGACCAGAAACAAGGGGGAGCAGGTACAGGGTATAGGTACAAGGCAAGAGCAGGCTCAGGCAGGAATGAGACTCAGAATCAATTAGCAAGTGGTATCTGACTTGCAGGGCAAAACACTGAAGCATTAAGGAATAGCAGAAGAGAGACTAAATACCCTCCCAGCAGCCAGCATCAGGTGATGACTGATTTTTGGGATCTTCTGGCTGCTGGGAGACACCTGCTGGTGGACACTAGAACTACAACCTTCCTTTCTGGGAACCAGAACCACCAGCAGGTGATCCAGGTCCTGACACTCCCATAATATATAAGAAAATGTACCCACTGTTCTGAAGCCCCTGAAACAGAGGCCTTAAGTGGCCTGATTTAACCCAGTCAATCATTGAGGTACTGTACACCAGCAAAGTAAAACTTTAGAATGTTCTTTAATGAACATACAGTAGTATTAACTGATCCGTGGGATATTGTGTCTTAAATTTGGTGTGAATATAAAGATCCAATGGGATCCCACTCCCATAGAGAAACTTAAGACTGGGGATGCTGGAAGACACCCCTCTGGAGGTAACTATAAAATGGGGAGATAATACCTTTAGATAAGAAATCCTGCAGGCATATACTGTATATGGAGAAGAAAAGTTACAAACCCCCTGAATAGTGAATAGGAAATTTACCCTATGTAATCTCACCGTGTTCCACCATGAAAAATCTGTGAGGATTTTCAGATTCCAGAGAGATAAAAGGGCTGTTAACTTTAGTAGCAAGATGAGTATAAGGAGAGAGCAAGCTCTGAAATCTGAGATGCTGTAAAGCCATCAGAGGCTGGGTGTTTATTCACCTAGAGTTACTTACAGTAAATGCACCATGTACTTGTACACCACTTATCGAAGGTCAAATGGTATCTAAAAAGGACTTTGGAAGTTGGGGGACATGCAGTTCTGCTAAAATGTTTGTTGTGTTACACTAAAGGTGGATGATGGTGGATAAAGGATAAAGGTAGATAAACTAAAGGTGGTATATTATGAGAATAGACAAGAATGACATTCATCTACTATAGTTGTTATGTATTTTTCAAGATAAAGTACAGTGGGGCAAAAAAGTATTTAGTCAGCCACCAATTGTGCAAGTTCTCCCACTTAAAAAGATGAGAGAGGCCTGTAATTGGCATCATAGGTAGACCTCAACTATGAGAGACAAAATGAGAAAAAAAAAATCCAGACAATCACATTGGCTGATTTGGAAAGAATTTATTTGCAAATTATGGTGGAAAATAAGTATTTGGTCACCTAAAAACAAGCAAGATTTCTGGCTCTCACAGACCTGTACCTTCTTCTTTAAGAGGCTCCTCTGTCCTGCACTCATTACCTGTATCAATGGCACCTGTTTGAACTTGTTATCAGTATAAAAGACACCTGTCCACAACCTCAAACAGTCACACTCCAAACTCCACTATGGTGAAGACCAAAGAGCTGTCCAAGGACACCAGAAACAAAATTGTAGACTTGCACCAGGCTGGGAAGACTGAATCTGCAATAGGCAAGCAGCTTGGTGTCAACAAATCAACTGTGGGAGCAATAATTGGAAAATGGAAGACATACAAGACCACTGATAATCTCCCTCGATCTGGGGCTCTCCACGCAAGATCTCACCCCGTGGGGTCAAAATGATCACAAGAACGGTGAGCAAAAATCCCAGGACCACACGGGGGGACCTAGTGAATGACATGCAGAGAGCTGGGACCAACATAACAAAGGCTACCATCAGTAACACACTATGCCACCAGGGACTTAGATCCTGCAGTGCCAGACGTGTCCCCCTGCTTAAGCCAGTACATGTCCAGGCCCGTCTGAAATTTGCTAGAGAGCATTTGGATGATCCAGAAGAGGATTGGGAGAATGTCATATGGTCAGATGAAACCAAAATAGAACTGTTTGGTAGAAACACAACTTGTCGTGTTTGGAGGAGAGAGAATGCTGAGTTGCATCCAAAAAACACCATACAGACTGTGAAGCATGGGGGTGGCAACATCATGCTTTGGGGCTGTTTCTCCGCAAAGGGACCAGGATGACTGATCCATGTACAGGACAGAATGAATGGGGCCATGTATCGAGAGATTTGAAGTGCAAACCTCCTTCCATCAGCAAGGGCATTGAAGATGAAACGTGACTGGGTCTTCCAACATGATCCCAAACATACCGCCCGGGCAACGAAGGAGTGGCTTCGTAAGAAGCATTTCAAGGTCCTGGAGTGGCCTAGCCAGTCTCCAGATCTCAACCCCATAGAAAACCTTTGGAGGGAGTTGAAAGTCCATGTTGCCCAGCGACAGCCCCAAAACATCACTGCTCTAGAGGAGATCTGCATGGAGGAATGGGCAAACATACCAGCAACAGTGTGTGCCAACCTTGTGAAGACTTACAGTAAATATTTGACCTCTGTCATTGCCAACAAAGGATGTATAACAAAGTATTGAGATGAACTTTTGATATTGACCAAATACTTATTTTCCACCATAATTTGCAAATAAATTCTTTCCAAATCAGCCAATGTGATTGTCTGGATTTTTTTTTTTTCTCATTTTGTCTCTCATAGTTGAGGTCTACCTATGATGCCAATTACAGGCCTCTCTCATCTTTTTAAGGGAGAACTTGCACAATTGGTGGCTGACTAAATACTTTTTTGCCCCGCTGTATATAGTTATAGTCAGGGGCGGACTGACCATTTGGGCACTCGGGCACCACCCGAGGGCCCAGGGTCAGCAGGGGGCCCCATGAGATGCCCCTGGTACCTTTCATAGGCTTTTTTGGGTGTGATTTGAGTGTGGGTGAGGACACAAGGGCCCCATGATCCCATAATGCCAAGGGGTCCCATGAGTTGTCAGTCCGCCCCTGGTTATAGTATTACAGTATTGCTGCCATCAACATAAAGGAAACAGCAAAACAGAACTGCAAACAGAAATTGCAGCCAATGTAAGAGACATTGAGTTTGAGAGCTCAGTGTCTCTTACATCGGCTACAATTTCTAAGCCTGTAAGCTAAGAATACAAACAAGGAATAATTTTATTTCATCTGAATGGCATCTGATGAGTGCTGCACCAAATATAAAGAATAATAAATTATGGATGCCAACCACTTTATACTTTTACAGTGCACCACATCACTAATAGATAAAATGTAAAAGTACAAAAACAGTTTACAGTATATGGACCTTTAAGGTAATGTAGTGATCCAACTGGTAATTTTATTACCAAAAAGTTTTTAAAAACTCATGAAACATACTATGCAGGTATGTGATTGTATAATGCTACACTGCTGTAAATATAGTAAATTAAGTGAATGGTGTGCAATAATGACAAATAACAAAATCCAAATAAATCTAAACCTTATTAAAAATAGAAAAAATGAATCCGCAAATAAATGCCTTTGTTGTGAATCCAAATAAATAACACGCCACAATTGTTTATAAAGCAATTATAATAGATCACACCTCTCCCATATGTGTACTTATTAACAATAATGCAAATGGTAATAGACAAAAAATAATACAATATGCAGTCTTTCTCTAAATCAGTTCAATCATTAATAATGAAACATTACTTTCGTGATTGTGAACATCAGCACCATATCAAGTGGTGCTCCAATATTAATCATAGCGTGTCTCATTTTGTACCACCTCCAACTCAGTGCTCACAGAACTCT